ATTGGATTCACAGATTATTGAGATCTATGCCTTGGCAATTGTTAACCTCTGGTATCACAACCATATTCTGTTTTTCTTCCATTTGTTCTATTTCCAAATCACTTTGATTAATGAGTAAAGGCTTCCTAGATGAACCTTTGCCAGATATCATGTTAGAGAATGACCTAAATATTCTTGCCATGGTTAACAAATAACTGTAGTTGTCAATATGTGGTGGTTCTGCCTAATCTCTGGTGGTCTATGATGGCCTCTTGCCTAATGACCAAAATAGCTTACAAACTTCTACGACTTGGGTGCCACACAGGTTAACTGAAAACAATTTTGAGAATACTTAAATCTTCCTAACAGAATATGGCTCTGATACCAAAGGTTATTTTACCCATGACATAACATATCCCATTGTCCCTCTCACTATTGAACATGTTCAATATCTTCGAGAACACCTAGAATTAAAAACCTTAATCTCCACGTATTTTGCCAATAATTGGCATTACCTGCAACATTCCGGCCAACATTCTCGCCTATGTTATTAGAAAATTTTAGAAGAAACCAAATCAATTTCAGTTGAGCATGTCTATTCTAAAGAAGATAAAAATCTTCTCCAATACTCCAAACTTCATATTTATAAAATAATTTCTCAATCTGAGTGAGGAGCTCATCGCACAGTCTTACGTCGCTTTGTCAACCCCAATTTAAAACCTTCTAGTTACAATTATAATGATTATCAATTAGGATGGTTTCAGGTTTTTTATTTCCAAAACCATTTCTTCCACCACTCATGGTGGATTCATTTTGGACCCAACTTCGATGTTACTACTGCTGATATCCCTACATGGTTTGAACCATGGTGGCTCCAATTTGGATGGTAATTTCCAGTTCTTCCCAAACCTTTGCAAAAATCATATTTCATTTATCGAAAGGAAGTTGAACCTCCTTTCCTTGAGATTCTATACTTTGTCATTGACTTCAAACTCCCATGGATTATAACATGGCAATATACCACATCTTCTCCTCATAATACCATGTTTCTGACCCGGCAGATAGCAATGAAGTGGTGGAAAAACTATACCATCCTAGTAGATTATTATCATGAACCACTTCTCCAATTGTATGAGCAAAGGAAAAAATTAGCTAACATCAATTCTGCACCATCTATGGCTTCTTCAAGCACAAAATCTCATAAGTCTTTCGATTATGAAAATTTTAAGACTGAAGGGCATACCCAATGCATGAAGCTCCCTCTTAAACGGGATCTGGGGAAGGGTTGGTGTACGCAACCTCACCCTCGCAAATGGAGATGCTATTTCCGAGACTCAAACCCGTGACCACCAGGTCACTAGGGGATAGCTTTACCGCTACGCTAGGCCTGCCCTTCAATTTTAAGACTGAACTTAAACAAAAATTAAAGGATAGGTATCCCTCAATATTAAAAAAAGACCTTGAACAAAAATATAAAAAAAGAAATTAAAATGAAAATGATCCAAATGGTAGAAGAATAAACTGTTTTTGATTTTGATGAAATATTGGAGACTATCCCTCAATTTTCCAATAGGATACAAGTAGCCTCTATCAGTCCACTAGCATCTCCAACCCATTTTCCAACACAAAACCTTGATGAAGACTTTTGAGACAATTGCCAAGGCATAGATCTCAATAATTTGTGAATCCAATAATTTTCAGAGAATGACAAACAACAAAAAGCAAAGATTCCTAATACAACTTGTAAAAGTATTTATGCCTGGCGAGCCTGCAGAAAGCAATAATGCCAAACGAAAAGTAGATTCCTCAAACAGCCCATGTGACTTCATCAGCAAAAAGCAATTATGCCAAATGAAAAGCTGATTCCTCATACAGCCCATGTGACTTCATCAGCAAAATCTTATCTCTTCGGACATCAAATGGTTTGAAATCCGACTTCCATACTCTATATAAGCAACCGCTTAGAATGAAAAAGGCATCTGAAAATATTGAAGAATATTGTATTTTTCTTTCTATGAGTCTTGAGTGTGAGTGTTTCTGTATTTGTTTATGCTTTGCCCTGTTTGCCTAGAAGAGTATGATCCTCTATATGCATTTAAGTATTTCGTTGTAACTTCTTATTATTAATATAAGTGTGGTTGTGTTATCTTTATGCCTATTCTTAATAGATTTTATTGTTTGCATAGATTATGTTATTATCAAATAAAAAATTATAAAAGAATTAGAAGCACGGTTTGAAAAAATTTATCCTAGTTTATCTGGTCTCAATTCTATGCCTCATGAGCATTGGGCGAACATCAACGTATTCAAAACCAAATATATAGATATCAAGAAATGTTAGATTTTTGTCTTCTATTTAAACTATTTTCAATCACTAAGATTATATACTGGGACAACCTTTGGTATCAGAGCCATATTCTGGTAGAAAGATTTAAGTACTCTCAAAATTGTTTTCAGTTAACGTGTGTGGCACCCAAGTCGTAGAAGTCTGTAAGCGACATTTACAAAGTAGGGACTGATGAACACTCACTCATGTGGTTAGCAGGACTAGCACAAATGGCACATGCCTTTTGTAGTGTAGGAGATTGAGGGGAGGTGAAATGTGCCCAACCAACATCAGTTGATCTAATTTTTGAGACAATGGATCCACTTTAGTGGAGACATCTACAGAGTGTCCAACCTCATAGATGCCCCTTGCTTTTGAGACAAAGTTTAAAGTATGGCATGATTTGGATTTTTTAATGAATTTTTGAAATATTTGTTGGTTTCTAGTTTCATTGTTGCTATTTTATGCCTGATATGAATAAAAGTACGTTATTTGGATTATTTGAGGAGTTTTGGTGTATTAAGGGTAAAATTATAATTTTGACCCATTAGGGGTAAAATGGTATATGCATTTTGGCCATTTTGTCACTTGGGGTTAGTTTGATAATTTTTAGAGGTAAATTGGTGATTTTAGCTCTTAGGAGGTAAAATGGTTATTTTGATAATAAAAAGGCCATTTCAGTAATTTAGCCATGAGAGCATTACCACTGCTGGAACTATTTTCACACAAAGAAGGACATGTATTTCTAGGAAGATGGTGTGTTCGTGTTGGACACATGTGAAACAATATTGGTCGGACATACGTCCAAACATTGTCCATTGCACACATGAAATACATTACAAGGTTTAACAAAATAATTTGATTGAATGAAATTTAGAAAACAATGTTAATTTATACATATTAATCCTTCCTTCAAAATTTAGAGTTTAGTTTTATGTTGTATTTATTATTATTATTTTTGAATGAAATATTCATATATATAACATATAGTAAAATACGTAAAATTATCCAACATTTTTTAAAAAAAATTTCGTGTTGCATCATGTCACATCGCTGCTTGTGTTGGCTTATATATATATACACATATATTTTAAATTTCATTCAAAGTTAATGAAAAAATACAACATAACACTAAATTTGTTTAAAGGGAATGAGATTAATAAGGATAAATTTGTACTTTTTATTTTTTATTTTTTTTATTTTTTTATCTGTGTCCATTGCTTGTACACACAATAAGCAGCAGATTACGTGTCCATGTGTCACATCGCTTGTCATGCTGGTGTAAATATATGAATTTTGCATTCAACTATATGATATATTTCATTAAAGATAATGAAAAAAATACAACATAACATGAAATTTTAAAGTTTAAAGAGATGGTGAGATTAATAAGTTTACATTATTTATTTTTTTTATAAGTTTATCCAAGTTTTGTTTGTTTAAACTTGTAATAAGTTTAATTTGCATGTAAGCAATGGAACAATGATGGACATGTGTCCCCCTGAGTGTCTGATGTGTGTCCAGCTTCCAACACAGGCACGTCGAAGTGATTGTGCTTCTTAGCTTTCATAGTTTTAGGAGTATTGTGCACTGGCCGGTTTATCGTTACTTGGTTTGAACTATGGTGGAGCTCAAATTCAATTCAATTCAATCACTTAGTCTGCCTAGTGATGCTAATTAAAAATGTATAGAAATCCATCATCGATCCTTGAACATGGACCAAACTAATTATAGGCTTATAGTTTTCATTTACAGCCATATTGGTTGTAAGCTTTCCTCTTTACTACCTTTAGAGCCATTGAAATTACAGAAAATGGACTGAAGAATTTCTGTGTGGGACTGCAAGTTGATTTCTTTCTCTGTTTTGAGTTGATGTGTTAATGTATTCTCTTACAATTAATTCAGAAGGGTGCCCAATCTTAAGAATAGACCAGGTTTATGTATACCTTATATTATTATGAGAGAGTTTTGTAAGCTTTCTGCCAACTATAAGATAGATGGCCAAAATTGTGTGCAGTGGATTTGAGGATAACTTTCAGTGGCTTGAGGATCTGCTAGTATGTGAAGGTCCCACTTAGAGATACATCGTGATTGAATTGTTTTCGGATTATAAATTTCTCAAATTAGGTTTGGCCTCTGAACCATTGCAATAAATGACTGCAAATTGACGAAATTTTGAATCCTTGAATGTTATTTCATGTAAACAAGCATATGATTGGCCAGAGGATATTGCTGAAATTTGGGTTTTTTAGCTAGTGAGCTCAAAGGTCAGGATTGAGCTTGGTTTCTGTTAGTTTGTTAGCTTGAGCTGACTGTGTAAACTGGCTGAGTTTGAATAGCTTGAGGACTTTATTACAAGCATCATTTTGCATGCTCCTCTTGTCACCTGCTCAATTTTTATTATTTTAGTTGTTTGAGATTTGTAGGAAAATATAATGAAATGATCACCACAATATAGAGATAGAGCTTATAAAATTGTTACATATTTCCTGTCCTCAATTTCCTAGCACTGGATTAGGACGTAAAGATTTTTAGCCTTAGTTAAGTTGTTAATGTGAAATGTATTTTGGCAAGATTAACCATTTCTTATTACCCTTTGTGTTTGACTGCATAGCAATTTTACCATTTCACTGCCAGTATCAGGCTTTGAGCTCTCAAGCAGTCAAGTGTAACAAAAGGGTATGGTAAATTACAGATATATTGGGGACATGGTATTTATGGGGTTGAAATGGCATCCAAATTTTATTTTGGGAAGCATCCAACCCTTCTCTGTTTGGGGGAATGTGCAATGCTTGTTGGGATCATACCAGCACCAGAGCTTCGATCGCCACTCAGGGACACTAGCAGGTTTGTAGTTGTCGGTACTACTAATTTTCTTGTATTTCAATTTCTTCTAGAATTATGAAGTACTTAGGTTTATTTCCATTAACAGAGGGAAGACCTTCCAAGCTAGAGTACTTAAGCGGATGGTGGAAGTTGGCTTTCTCGATATGGAGACAGCACTTTTGGTTGTGAAGCAAAATCTTCATTTACGTGTTGATAGGCCTCATCATGGAAGTGGATTGTTGCTTCCTTCATCTTCCTCAGGGAAGGTGAGTGAAATTTATCTTCTATGTTTCTGCTAAACCGTTGAATGCTATGACATCAAGCATTTCTATATACATATATATATATATATTTCTATATTTATTGTCAGTGCATGGTTAGTAGACCCTCTTCAAATAGTGGCTCACTAGCACAACTGGCAAATTGAAACATCATAAGAAATATTATTTTAGCATATAATTGTTGTTAATACTATATAGAGCAACGAAACACTGATATTCTAAGAATGTGGCATTTCTGTGACACCCCAAAATTTGGAACATCAATTTTTATTTTATTTTTTAAATAAACAAATAACGCTTACTAAATAAAATTTTACCATCTTAATTGGAATTTTCAACGCTAATACATAAACATAAGTTCAAACAACAATAAATAAAAACTTCAAATTATCCAGATACAATGTCAAACAATTTGAACCTTTTATGGTATTTCAGTTTTGGAATAAGGGCGGATGTGCGGGTGGCACAACAGGGAGGATATCCTTGGCAGAACGTTCCCTTTGGACAAACCATAGATGTCACTACGTGGGTATGTAAGCCTGGTCGTGGGCATCTCTGGTAGTTATAGTTGGTATCATTTACATAATTTATTTATCTAAAAACTATTTAACAAATATTTTATTGTATAAATTAGTTGAAAACTATTTCAATATAATCACTAGCCAAAAAATTGCTAAGATTAACAATTTTGTGGATAATCAATGTTTTCTGTTGTAACTATTTTTTATGAAGATTCAACTTAATAACTACCCTTACTAAATATTTTTAGTTGAAAATCTACTTCAATTAATTTCTAAGAATCCCACACAAATACAAATTTATACATATTCACAAATTATCATTCTATGTTAAAAATAAAAAAAAAATAAAGATGAATGAGTTAGGTGGCCAGTGGGGGAATGACCAACCCACCACTTGTGGCCTTGTGTTAGCACCTTGATATTTGGGAGATGGCGGCCTGACACTTGGTGGCACCTTGCACTTATGTCAAGCCTGGATCGCAGCATGAGGGAGGCATGCCAAGACAACAAGGTGGGCAATCAGTTGTGTTTGGCTAGTGGCTTAAAAAATTCAAAATTGTCTAAGGCAAGACAAAGGCTTCCTAAAATATAGGGACAATTGTGGGTGGTTATGCACAGAACCAGACACAAGGGAGGCATGCCAAGACAACAAGGTGGGCAATCAGTTGTGTCGTTCGACGCATGCCAAAGTATGGGCAGCATGGCACGTTTGAGGCATTAATATGACCTTAATGCTAGGCTGCAGCATACTTGGGGGTTTTAACATAATCAGACGACTTGACTTGGCTAGACAGCAAGGCATGGTGCGCAACTTGGTTGGGTAACAAGGCGGTTAGATTTGACCAAGGCCAACAGATGGCACTCTGGGCTCTGTTTGGCTAGTCGCTTAAGAAATTCAAAATTGTTTAAGACAAGGCAAAGGCTTACTAAAATATAGGGACAATTGTGGGCAACTAATGCACAGAACCAGACATGCTGCTGGCAAGGAACAAGGAATGTTGAAATAAAGGAGTAACCTGTTTGGGGGTGTCAAATGCCATGCCAGACAGCATGTGTCCCTTATATTTTGTAGCCTGTTTGAATTTCAAATGTTCTAATTATAGCCTATATATAGGCATAGCCATGCAAACTCGAATTCATCAAGTGTTTGAGAGTTTGGCATTTGGCTTTCCTTTGTAAATTGTTGGTGCAATAATAAAGGTTGGGTTTTCCCGTAATTGTTGACTTGTATGCTTGATGAAATTTAACTTATGTGTGTGAGTTGCATACATTGGCTGAGACTAAGTGTTGAGACTTAGTGCCATCGCAGGTAAATTTTATAGATTGAAAATTAACCCTGTGACAATTGATATCAGAACTAGGTTGCTCATAAATGGTGTCTGGTATGGTTGTTTTGAAAAAACGAGTGAAAATCTGGTGGGGGTGCCCGCTGATGAAAGTCACTCTTTGACGGATCGATTGGATGCCGTGGCGTCTGGGTTCCTTGACCTTGAGGCCTCGATGGCAGATTGGTTCAAGGAAGCCTTGGAAGACATGGCTGCCATGGCTAATGACTAGAAGGACAAGATGCAGAATATGGAAGACGAATTGTCTATCCTCAAGAAGGTTGTCTGTGGGCATTCGGGTCGTGGTGATGTCCCTTCGAAAGTTAAAGTCCCTGACCCTAAGGCATTTGGCGGTGCTCGCAATGCCATGGAACTTGAGAACTTTTTGTGGGATATGGAGTAGTATTTCAAGGCTACCCATGTTCTTGAAGCAGAGAAAGTCACGATCACGAGCATGTATCTCTCTAGGGATGCAAAACTTTGGTGGCGCACTAGGATGGAGGATGATGCTCATCCTGCGATCGAGACGTAGGAATTATTAAAGAAGGAATTAAAGGAGCAGTTCCTTCCTTGCAACTCGTCTTGGGTTGCAAGAGACGCTTTGAAGCGATTGAAACATAGCAGATCAGTAAGAGAATATGTGAAGCAATTCAGTTAAGTTGGACATCAAAAACATGTCTGAGAAAGACGAGTTGTTCAACTTCATGTCAGGCCTTTAGAATTGGGCACAATTGGAACTTCGTAGGTTGGGGGTAAAAGATTTGTCCTCTGTTGTGGCTACTGCGAATGGTTTACTTGACTACAAATTGAGTCAAGCATCCACTTTTGAATCCAAATCTTCCAAACATAAAGGGAAGGCAATGTTCAACCCAAAAACATGATCAACTACAACAATATGACATGAAACATGAAGAATTTCTAAAATAAAGCTTGGATTATGACATGCATGCAAGGATGCTCTAGAAAGACAACCTTAAATGCCATGAATTACACATGCATGTATATATTGAGCTTCAATTCACCAATTCTTAGCTTAATCCCCACATGAGTCCATTTAATTCACTAGAATTCTTGTACTAGCAGATCAATTTTACAGTTAAGAGGGTGAATGCCTACCTTAAGTCTTGGATTCTTAAGTGTGGTAGCTAAATCTTCCAAACTCTCTCCAATTTCCTCTACCTTCAAGAAATTTCCTTGTTGAGCTCAACTCTTCTCTCCCTCTCTCTATCTCACGTTGGGCATCAAAACAAATGGGAGAGATAAAAATGAAAAAGTGGCTTAGTAGGTCAAAAATGGCCTTATAATGTGATTTGACAAAACTAATCAAAGGGCATTATTTTAATCAAATTTAATTGTTCCGAATCGAATTTTAATTAAACCTACCATAAAATTCTATAAATTCTAATTAGCACATAAATCTAGTCAATTTCTGATTCGAATGCCGATAAGGCTTTCAATTCGTAACCCGAAACTAAAATGTGAACAGGTCTTTCGACACTGAACAGATAAAAAGACACATAAATAATGCAATGCACATGCAATTTAAGCCTAATTCCCTCCTAATTACTGTTAGGCATAATTAATCATGAATTAACGTTAATCAGAGGTCGGGGTTGTTACAAAATTACCAATATACCATAAAGAAAATGGTCCAATCACAATAGCTGTCATTTTCTCTGAAATCCTAGCAACAAAATATCTAGGTTATTTTATTAATTTTTGCAAATAAAGGTTTAGGGGCAAAAATGTCTTTTGATACCAACGTTAATTCCATCTAAATAATTACACTGGCAGGGGCTCAGTATAATTTTTCAAACGTTAGGAGTGATATATATTAAACTCAAATCTCAAGGGGTATAGGTGTAATTTACCCTTTACACTATATACATGATTCAACCAAAAAAAAAAAAAATTTTTTAATTTTAATAATTTTACACT